TGTGTGGGTGTATACAGGCGGGCCGGCGGGAGTGTTTTACATGGAAATGGGTTCAGTATTGAAAGGCACCAGTGATCACAAGTAGCAGTATGACCCAGGAGTGTCCAATTTGATACCGGAGAACAGAAGTCTTGCCACTCAGATCCATGTATCCATCACCGCACGCACTGCCTTGTCCAGCTAGGCTAAGGCAGCATATGGTCAGTGAGGTGGTTGGGATTACAGTGGTGTCTCGGGCTTCTATGATGTCAGTCAGTTAGTCAGTCGTGGAGACTATGGCAAAGATAGAGATGATAGTAAACAGTCCTGAGGTTTTTCATAAATTTCAGCTGATTCTGATTTTGTCTATTGCTCCCCGCTCTCTCTCTCTCTCTCTCTCTCTCTCTCTCTCTTTATCTCTCTCTCTCTCTCTCTCTCTCTCTTTCTCTCTGTCTGTCTGTCTGTCTCTCTCTCTCTCTCTCTCTCTACATGAATAGAAAAAAAATGTTGAAACATGTATAAGAATGAGTGAAGAAACAAAATAATGATATAATCTCAAATTAACATTTATAGCAAAATCTTACGGCAATGTGAATAGCCTGGCATACTGTCTGATATGGGAGTATGTGATAATGGCATTTTACAAAATCTATAGACATTAGACAATGCAACGATGTATTTATGCTTACCTGAAGAATTGATTTTCCTAGAAGTCTTGTCAAAGTATGGACAAATATAATATATGTAGTTAATTCCTGTACTAAATTTAAGAAGAGAAGGAAAGCAAGTACGTGCATACCATTAGAAATTATTAGAAGAACCCACATCCCCCCCCCCCAAAAAAAAAAGAAGATTAATGATTATAATGATAAGTGCAGTGAAACTTATTCACAAATATTGAAGGGGAAATGAAAGGCATTTCATTTTTTTTTTAAATAAAAAATAAAGGATAAATAAGACAAGAGAAAATAAGTGCTAAGAAAATCTTATTAAAAAATGTCCAGTTGAAGAGGATCCAGTTGACAGGTATTTTTTTTTTTTTTTTTTTTGGGGGGGGGGGGGGTTTGGGGGTTAGATAGTATCAATAAATTCAAGAATACAGTTGTCGTATTTCACATTTGTACTAGGGATGATTTTTTTTTTCTCTCAATATACACATATACTTCACTGGCATTGATGCAAGCAAAATCAACACTTGTAATACCCTGAACAAATATTAATGAGGTTAGAAAATTTAACTTGGGTTTTATTTATTTTGATATTCATACAGCATTGACTTGGTCTTCATTTTGATATCTGAATGACAATCCGAGTGATGACATCCATTAACTCTTAGTATTGCATTCATTATAGTTTATATATAGACTATTAATGACTTTTCTCACCTCACACCTGTAGTGACGTTGAGAATAATCAATAATTAGCACTAGAGAGCTAAAAGCATATTCTCGGATGTGGTTCTCAAAGCAGTGTTGCAGTATATTGATATTCTATTATTGTATGGCATTGACTTCATCATATTAATGAGAATGGTGAGAACGCAGTCGTGACTTCTTAAAACATATTCTCGGATGTGGTTTTCAAGGCAGTGTTGCAATATATTGATATTCTATTCTTGAATATCATTGAATTCATCATATTAATGAGAATGGGGAGAATGCAGTCGTGATTTCTTCACGATGAACGTGAGCAAGGTAGAATCATTCTGTGTCAACAACATCAGCTAAAAGCAGATGCTTGAAACTAAAACTGGCTGTCCTCCTTCCTATTTTGGATCCCGACTTGAGGCTTACTGCGTAGGCAATGCGTGGTTTGCCTACATGATACAATGGAAAGGTCACATCTCATATAACTGCATTTATCCATCATTGCCTCAAGTCTTGGATGTCTGGATCATATATTCAGGTGAAACTGTACACCCAGAACACCTGCTACAACAACAACATCACCAATAATTGATGATGTCATAATAAGCAGGAATTAGGCCTTGTGGATAAAAGAGTATTTTCAGGTTTTTTTAGATATTTGTAAATCTTTATATTTTCAATCAGAGGTTGTATGCTACATTCCCTAAAGTAGGCCCTATACATTTACCTCTACACATCTACCGCTCCCCCCGCCCCCTCCCCGAAAAATGAAATGTTAGGCATACATACTTCCATTATTCCAGTCATGAGCAAGAAAAATGTCATCATCACCATCATCATCATGTTTTAGTGTGGGAGAAACAGAGTTCTATCCTTTGATACTTCAATATATGAAGAGGCGCGTTAGCTCAGTTGGTAGAGGAGTGGTCTTGTATTCCGACAACCCGGGTTCGAAACCAAGTCGATGTGCAAGTGCCCTTTGGTAAGGCATTAATCCTCATTACCAGGTCCTTCAGAGAGGACCCTAAAGCATTCGGTCCTCTAGTTGCTTAATTACAAGCATTTATGTTTTCTTAGCAGTCAGGTAAAATAACAACCACACACACTCTAAAATCTAGTCTTGTGCTGGTTCTTTTTTTTTATGTGTGCTTTCTTCGGCAAGGATACGCTTCAGTATTTTTGTTCAAAGCCCTGTAGTATGATCAACTAGCAACAGGCATGCAATAACTCTCAATGAACTTAGCCATTGTTCTCGGAACAAAGATGCATTTTAACATATGGATGACAATCATAAAGTCTTCATCAGCGGTAGATATGAACACACTGTAGCTCCACTACTCCTGCAACAATAGACCGGTTTACTCACCCATCCAAATTGTATGCATAATTTCTAAACAAAGGGTTGTTCAGCATGAAAGCTTGCACAAGGCTAGTCTAACATAGCAACAAGTAATGTATGCAAACTGGATTCCAAGTATAGTAGTTCATTCATCAATAACAGAGTAATGAGATAAGTTGTCACAAGGTCCTCAGGAAATTAAGAAACATCCTCAATTTTGAATATATGTTATTTAACCAGTCTCTTGCTCCATGGCAATTTGTTACACTCATCGAATTCTTCCCTTCAACCCTTAAACTCAACACTATTCATAATCCTAATCCTAACCGTAAACCTAATCTGCAACCCACTTGCGAACCTAATCCTACATATTTTTGAAGAAATAAAGCTGTGGAGCAAGTGTCACCGGAGCCAACGATAGATCACTGAATATACCGAATGATGAATGTATACTTGTGAATGTATAGAGCTACCTAAAGAGCAATGTTGTCAGAACGTTGGTGTTTTAAAGGTATAGACCAGTTTTGAAAACGCCCCCCCCCCCCCTCTCAAAAAATGAACTGGCAGCTCTTATTACTAACCATTTGAAAGAATGTGTTTTGACTAATATGTGATGATACAAAGTTTACCGGGAAACCGCCTACTAATTGATATATTTGGTAAATTATCTTATCCATCTGGCCTGGATAGATATCCCGTAGTCCCATATACATCTTTCTGTGTACAGTGCTTGTAACTTTACCAAGACTGGGCCAAATTTCTTATCAATTTGATGATTCCAGAACCTTGCAGTACACACCAATACTTACATGCTACATGATCAACCTTTTCTGATCGATTCCACGTTTCTTTTACAATGCGATCGCATGACCATAACTGGTCTATACCTTTAAAATATGAGGCGAAAACATTCAAACTTTGTTGAGACATCTTTATCAGCTGAAGATATAGATGAAGTCGATAGGGATGACTGGCCATAAAAAGGTAACTTATATATTGTAAATCCATGTCATTATGTGATAGGCTAAGTATTTTGTAATATAATAATTTAATATTTGTGTGTTCCATTTACATATGTTTACAAGATGTTAATCAGGCTATCAGGTGAAGATATGAACATATTAGATAAATCTGGAGTTACATGTTTTTGTTTATTTTAAAAATCAATAGAAGATATGACTGCCCTAAATTATAAAAAGTGGAAAATATCAAATCTAAGTAAAACATGTCAAAGAAAGCCATTGTTGATCATGAAATATGTTGTACCACATGATACATCTATTTATTTATTTTTTTTACAGTTTTCATGAAGATAATGAACAGAAAGAAAATTGAAAAAGGAAATGGAAGTATTTTGTTTCAGTTTATTTTTTGCTAAAAATACAGTCTGAGTTAACACGAACAAAATTTAACTCCAACGTGGACATCAGGGCCGATATTGGCCAAGTCATTTCAGCAATGTTGTCCCGTACAATATAATTGAGATGGAAAAGTTTTGCTTGGATTCTCTTAATTTCCTGTACAAATAGTAATATGATATAGAGGTTGTGAGCATAAACTTCAATTGCCAAGAAAATCACATTTGTCTGTGTCCTCTAAGATATATTTTAATTTCAGCTCTATATTACCACGAAAGAGTAATTTATAGTTGGTCGTCATACATGTATCTTCATAGGGCCCCCTGGTAGTACTTTACTATTACCATAAAACAAATCTTCTCTGCTGATTTCTTTTCTTTAAAGGTTAGATATTGTCTCAATGTCCTGTACAACTTTTACGTTATTGCCCATTTACATGTACATGGAGCTGAATGATTGAGAGCACAAGAGTATTCAGCCTACTTGTTCTTCTGATGAGTTCTGTAATAGAGAGATATTGTTTTTGTTTTTTTAGTCTTAGTACAAAGTGTTACTGCATGAAAAGAGTGTTGAAGAAAGCATGATCCATGCTTAAAGGCATCGTTTAAGAAGCTCTAAAAATAATTTGCTTTAAAATGATCATGAGTGCCTTTAAAAAAGTGAAAATCTTTGAGTGACCGGTTTTACCATGGACTCATTTTCCCCAATAGCCTGTAGTGTAATAAAAACCATTAGGAAAACAAAAAATGAAATGTCTACCGTATTTCCAATCATAAATATCTTGATAATCAGACAGGCGATCGACTTGTAAAAGTCATGGGATTACTGACTGACCTAAAGGTTTATAATTATGATTGCAGCATGAGCTAAATCCAGGATTTTGTTTAAGAATCTGAGGCAATGTTACAGAGTCACTTTAAGATCTATTGTTCTCTCTTTGTTTTGGTTTGATTTCAGTCAGCAGCCGAGTGTATGGAGGTTGACTACACAGTGTGGATGTAGGGGTGATAAGACCAGCTCGGTCTATCAGCTCAGCTCAAGACCGTTCATTGACAGTGTCATCCAAACAACAGGTGCGTTAAACACTCCTTGTCATTCAGATTATGCCTTGCACAATCTTACAGGAAGAAATGTTAGAAGGAACAGAGAGATTATTATCATATCGTTATTATTGTTGTTGTTGTTTGTGTTGTTGTCGTCGTTACAGAGCTGCCAAAAACCATTTTTTCCTGAATTATTTTGTTTTTTCCTCCAAATTACAGTAGTATGTTTTTCCTTCATAAAAATAAATTTTTTCATAATTTTTTTGTTTTATTTTATTTTTGTTTTTCCCCACGTCAAACAACTGCCTTAAAATGTTTATTTGATCACAAATTCAATTGAAAACTAGAAATGCAATCGTGTCACAACGATGTGCGTGCAATGACGCCGTGTTTCTACGTGTCGAACGAAAGAGCTTCTCTCGGACTATCCAGAGCAATTTCTACGAAGTCTTTAGCTTCTGTAATATTGGAGACAGGTAGGGCGAAAGAAAGGCCTCAATATGACCTTGATGGGATGGTAGTGACTATGCCTACGATGTTTGAAAGAAATTGGGATAGGGGAAAGAACCTAGAAAGGGCTCGCAAGCACTACGTGCAAAAACAAATGGGATTAGTTGCATGTTCGTCATTGCAATCAAGATCGTTCTAGGGGTCAAAAGCGTGAACCCGATTTGCCCCCATAGACAATGCGTGTAATGCATGGGCGGAAAACGTACAGGATCTGTATTATGACCGGAGTTAAATTGTTTTTTTTTCTCTCTCTTTATGTCTCTTTATGGGCCGTATATGGTATCATTGGAAAGAGAATTTCATGGTCGTTATTGTAAACTACTCTCTTTTTTTTATATGATAATCCTATCGAAACATGTGATGTAAAATAGATTTAAAGGACAAAATGGCGTCTTAAATGGCCCCCTTGACCAATTTCAAAAATCCGGCCAAGAGGTGCCCTGCGTATTGCATCTCGGAATGTCATTGCAAATTTTCAAGGAAAAAAAAGGATGTTTAGGGGGCGAAAAGTAGTCTGAAAAAATGACGTCTTGGCCGATAAGTGTTATAATCGGGCGGAATTCGTATAGTGACCCTTGTTCAAATGCCATTTACTCACAATTTTCTGTGTAAACATATACCATACTTGGTATCATTCGAAAGGGCACTTCATTGCGGTCAGTTTGACACCATTGTCATCTGCACGCAATGTACTGCACGCATTAAAGGCGCTATTATGTAATGCATAGCAAATTCATCATTTTTGGCGATAACTTTGCGCTGACGTTATTAAAATTTACTAAACTTGGCAGACAGTTGTCACGTATATGGATACATGTGTCTGCCAAGTTTCAACGACGTAGGTATAAAGATCGCCATTTTAGAGCAAGTTGAAGTTATTTCGGAATTTTCTTGAAAATGGCGAATTTGGAGGGCAATTTTCGCAAAGTTGGTCAGTGATAGGGTATATAATTTTGTATATGGCTGGAAAGGGCATATCCTCAGGTATCTAAATCCAAAAAAAGGTACGGGTCTGCCAAGCCATAATGGAGATACGGCCACAGAGAGAAAGCCAATTTCCAGAACTTTAGAGGGCGCTATTTATGTTTTGCAAAGCCATTGGAGCGTGAAATTGGGCATGGCTATCAGCAATTATGAGACAAACATACTGTGAGATTTTAATACAAAACGGACATTATATGAGAAAGTTATGGCAGTTTTAGATTATTTAGGGGTCCATTTCTCAAGAATTTGAGAGATTGTTGACGGAGTCGGTTTCAGATTTGAATTTTGAGTATGAAGATGGCATTTTGAAGGGCAGGTTATACGTAGCAGATTAAAGAACATCTCTTAGACTATCTAGAGAAATTTGTTAGAAGTTTGTAGGATCTAGGATAGTGGAGATAGGAAGGAAGATAGAAAGGCCTTAAAATGGACCAGAAACGGACAAAATGGCGCCTGGACGGTTATGCATGAGTGATTTCGAAAATCGAAAAAGTAGGTGACCTTGATGAGATGCTAGAGACTATGCCTATGAAATTTGAAATGAAAAGGACATGAGGAAAGCACCTAACTAGGAATCACAAGCACCATGTGTAAAACGAATGCGATTTTCTGACGAGGAATATAAGGAGAATACTAGAAATGCAATCGTGTCACAACGATGTGCGTGCAATGACGCCGTGTTTCTACGTGTCAAACGAAAGAGCTTCTCTCGGACTATCCAGAGCAATTTGCACGAAGTCTGTAGCTTCTGTGATATTGGAGATAGGTAGGGCGAAAGAAAGGCATCAACAGTGACCTTGATGGGATGGTACTATGCCTACGAAGTTTGAAAGAAATTGGGATAGGGGAAAGAACCTAGAAAGGGCTCGCAAGCACTGCGTGCACAAACCAAGGGGATTTGGTGCATGTTTGACATTGCAATCAAGTTCGTTCTGGGGGCCAAAAGCGTGAACCCGATATGCCCCATAGACAATGCGTGTAATGAATGGGCGGAAAACGTGCAGGATCTGTATTATGGCCGGAGTTAAATTGTTTTTTCTCTCTCTCTTTAAGTCTCTTTATGGGCCGTATTTGGTATCATTAGAAAGAGAATTTCATGGTTGTTATTGTAAACCACTCTCTTTTTTTCTATGATAATCCTATCGAAACACGTGATGTAAAATAGATGTATAGGACAAAATGGCGTCTTAAATGGCCCCCTTGACCAATTTCAAAAATCCGGCCAAGAGGTGCCCTGCGTATTGGAACTCGGCATGTCACTGCAAATTTTCAAGGAAAAAAAAAGGACGTTTAAGGGGCGAAAAGCAGTCTGAAAAAATGACGTCATAGCCGAAACGTGTTAGATTCGGGCGGAAACTCGGCGGAATTCGTGTAGTGACCTTTGTTCAAATGCGATTTACTCACAATTTTCTGTGTGAACATATATAATACTTGGTATCATCCGAAAGGGCACTTCATTGCGGTCAGTTTGACACCATTGTTATCTGCGCGCAATGTATTGCACGCATTGAACGCGCTATTACGTAATCCATAGTAAATTCATCATTTTTGGCGATAACTTTGCGCTGACATATTCGAATTTTACCAAACTTGGTAAACAGTTGTCACGTATATGGATACATATGTCTGCCAAGTTTCATTGATGTTGGTATAACGTTCGCCATTTTAGAGCAAGTTGAAGTTATTTCTCAATTTTCTTGAAAATGGCGAATTTGGAGGGCAATTTTCTCAAATTTGGTCAGTGATAGGGTATATAATTTTGTATATGGCTGGAAAGGGCATATCTTCAAGTATCTAAATCCAAAAAAAGGTACGGGTTTGCCAAGCCATTATGGAGATACGGTCACAGAGAGAAAGCCAATTCCCAGAACTTTAGAGGGCGCTATTTATGTTGTGCAAAGCCATTGGAGCGTGAAATTTGGCATGGCTATGTGCAATTATGAGATAAAGATACTGTGAGATTTAAATACAAAACGGAATTTATATGACAAAGTTATGGCAGTTTTAGATTATTTAGGGGTCCATTTTTCAAGAACTTGAGAGATTTTTGACGGAGTCGGTTTTAGATTTGAATTTCGAGTATGAAGATGGCATTTTGAAGGTCAAGTCATCAGTCGCAGATGAAAGAACATCTCTTAGACTATCTTGAGAAATTTGTTAGAAGTTTGTAGGATCTAGGATAGTGGAGATAGGAAGGAAGATAGAAAGGCCTTAAAATGGACCAGAAACGGACAAAATGGCGCCTGGACGGTTATGCATGAGTGATTATGAAAATCGAAAAAGTAGGTGACCTTGATGAGATGCTAGAGACTATGCCTATGAAATTTGAAAGGAAATGGACATGGGGAAAGCACCTAACTAGGAATAACAAGCACTACGTGCAAAACGAATGTGATTTCCTGACGATACTAAGAAGAATATTTATGGGGCAGAATGTGAACGAAAACAAGGCAATGACGAAGGTTCGTCATTGCAACTAGAAATGCAATCGTGTCACAACGATGTGCGTGCAATGACGCCGTGTTTCTACGTGTCAAACGAAAGAGCTTCTCTCGGACTATCCAGAGCAATTTGCACGAAGTCTGTAGCTTCTGTGATATTGGAGATAGGTAGGGCGAAAGAAAGGCATCAACAGTGACCTTGATGGGATGGTACTATGCCTACGAAGTTTGAAAGAAATTGGGATAGGGGAAAGAACCTAGAAAGGGCTCGCAAGCACTGCGTGCACAAACCAAGGGGATTTGGTGCATGTTTGACATTGCAATCAAGTTCGTTCTGGGGGCCAAAAGCGTGAACCCGATATGCCCCATAGACAATGCGTGTAATGAATGGGCGGAAAACGTGCAGGATCTGTATTATGGCCGGAGTTAAATTGTTTTTTCTCTCTCTCTTTAAGTCTCTTTATGGGCCGTATTTGGTATCATTAGAAAGAGAATTTCATGGTTGTTATTGTAAACCACTCTCTTTTTTTCTATGATAATCCTATCGAAACACGTGATGTAAAATAGATGTATAGGACAAAATGGCGTCTTAAATGGCCCCCTTGACCAATTTCAAAAATCCGGCCAAGAGGTGCCCTGCGTATTGGAACTCGGCATGTCACTGCAAATTTTCAAGGAAAAAAAAAGGACGTTTAAGGGGCGAAAAGCAGTCTGAAAAAATGACGTCATAGCCGAAACGTGTTAGATTCGGGCGGAAACTCGGCGGAATTCGTGTAGTGACCTTTGTTCAAATGCGATTTACTCACAATTTTCTGTGTGAACATATATAATACTTGGTATCATCCGAAAGGGCACTTCATTGCGGTCAGTTTGACACCATTGTTATCTGCGCGCAATGTATTGCACGCATTGAACGCGCTATTACGTAATCCATAGTAAATTCATCATTTTTGGCGATAACTTTGCGCTGACATATTCGAATTTTACCAAACTTGGTAAACAGTTGTCACGTATATGGATACATATGTCTGCCAAGTTTCATTGATGTAGGTATAACGTTCGCCATTTTAGAGCAAGTTGAAGTTATTTCTCAAT